CTACACACACACATACACACACAGAGACACCCACGCATGAATACACAGGTATGTACATGCTGCGACTGATGAAATATTTTCATAAAGATAGATAATAATAATAATGATAAAAATAATAAAAATAATTGAACATTTCTGTAAAACTACTGATAATATAAACAAGTTATTTTCTGTGTGCTAAAAAACCCTAAAATGTGTTCTAATGACACCATCTTTTCAAAAACAACAAAAACAACAAAGAGAGCAGCAACACTAATGATTATTGTGGTAACTATGACTACCGCTACTGCATTCTTGCATAAGTCTAATTAATCATTTATATTTTATAAAAAAAAAACTATCGTTTACGAACAAAATCAATTAGTTTTTTAGGTGTTTTCATATCGTCATGAGTTGAAAACCAGAAGGCAGTGTGGATAGTAATTCTATCTGAGCATGGAGTAATCTTTAGTGGTCTCATTACTGATTGAAGCTTTCAGGATTTTCAAGTTACCAGACGACTGCGGTCAATAGTGAATCCTAACTCTTGTCTGTGTTTTTAACATAATGATGCATCCATCAAATACCATTGATGAGTAATGGTCATTTGAGTGAAATTAATGGATGTGAAAAGTTACCAATTCACTTTAGGAGCTCCATTCTGTAGGCGCGGAAACTGTATTGATTTAAAAGGTATTATAATCAGAACGCATAACTTTTAGTGCCAAAATTTTGCAGGCCGACCGTAGATATCGGGTGTGCGTCGGCAGGGGATCGAACCCCGGACCATGTGCATGGTCGGCGAGAGTCCTAACCACTGTGCCACCGACGCACAAACGTTATCCACTAGACCACTTGGGCTCAACAGTCCGCTCCGTCCTCCTTTACGGCTGTGAGACCTGGCCATTAAGAGCGGAAGATATGAAAAGATTAGCTGTCTGTGTTCTATCTCCCATGTGAAGTGGTATAATAAGGTGAGCAATATTGAGGTTAGGCGTTGAGTGCTAGGTAAGAAGGGGAAATCAATCGTCGAGACTGCCAAATTACATCGACCGAGATGGTTAAGACAAGTGTTAGGTATGTCTAGTCATCGCCTTCCTCGACCAACGGGCAGTATTAGCTCATATAGGGCCATGCTGGGAAAGAGCTAGCGGCGGTCAAACCAAAACATGGCACCAGTCAATGAAATCTACAACAGTTAGTCTAAGCCAGTCACGTAGGAAGGTGTAAACTTCCTGGTTGGGGTACTCGGGACGGTAAAGTTCAGTGGTTGGAAACAATTGGTGATATGGCTCAAAATCGTTCTCAATGGCTGTTGCAGATGCATCCACTCCTTGTGACTTATGATTTCCAATGAAACTGTTTTGTTCTCCATTATTACTATTCCTTTGTCTCACACCTCTGTTTACTGTCTATATTATGCATTTCTCCTACTTTCTTCTCTTGCTTTGTGTGTTACAAGGAGGGAATGTGGCGACTTGAACTGGTGCACATATGTGCAAAGTTCTATGTCAAAAACCGACCTACCGACTCACGCGGTCCGGGTTAAGTACCCCACCGACGCAATTCTAAACCTCGTCATTAAAGAGGAAGGATTGGGCGTAACACTAGTTACCTCATTCTGCATAAACACTACCACCAACACTGAAACTTCAAAGCTCAAGATTGAAGCTCTATGTTCCACTCAGAACGCAAAGGAATGCATTTTTAATACAAACCAGTTACTGACTAGTAAATGTGCTTGTATGGACATCGAATGGTCGGAAAGAATCAGCAACAAGAAACTCTGGGAACGAATCAACCAAGAACGGATTCCACAACAAGTATGCCAAAGAAAATGGAGATGGATCGGATACATACTGAGAAGACCGTTGGCTAACATCTCACTTCGAGTGGGACCCTCGTGGGGCGTCCGAGGGTGACATGGGGGAGATCATGTGCGATGGTGATGAGAAACTATAGGCAGTCGTGGAACCAGTTGAAGAGGGTCACAGAGAATAGAACGCAATGAGAACGTGCCGCTGAAGCCTTATTTTCTACTTGGAACCTAAGGGAACAACAAAAACAGATGTGTTTGGATAGTAACTTTCGAGTCCGAGGTTCAAACAGTGATATCGTCATGGGTACACATCGCTGAAGAGTTCCAGACTAGGACAAAGATACTGATCCCGTGTTTTAAACTGTTCTCTTACTGATATCAATTCATAGCGAAATATCGCTCATTGACTCTCATATATTATCAACCTGATTTGAACTAAAAATTCAAGTTACCCTTGTGAAATAGTCATCTTTATAACAGTATAGACTGCAAAATGCCTTTTTCGGCAAATACAATTACCAGCTGACTACTCCTCACTCTCTATTGTTTACAGGGAAACATACATACTATGCGTGTTAAAAACGGATAGGAAATACACATGTGAATGAAATCAGATATTGATTTCGGGGGGGGGGGGTATTAAATGGGTTGTGTTGCAATCGCCTGTCCACACGTGTTCATTTGTCTATTTGCCTTTATTCACTTGTAATAATCAGACACTATTAAGTGGTCAAACAGCTCGATGCTGTAACCTGAAGGTCCTGGGTTCGATTGCTCGTGAGGTCGTCGAAATGTGCTGCTGAAGAGTCCCAAACTAGAAGGAAGCAGTTTTTCGGTGATCTTTAACTGTAATTAATCTAGATCCCTACAACATAAGATCCGCAATCTAAGTATCAAAAACACTTAAAAGTATGGATTTGCCTATCATCCTAGAAAGATACCTAGATAGATAGCAATAAAGTATTAGCAGTAATTACTCTGTATCATTCTGATTTGCTACTTATTATACTACTATTATCACTGTTATCAATATTACTCTTTTTGTTTTGACCTTAGTGAGCACGTTTTTATATTTGAATAAGGCATTAAGAAGACAAATTTCGAGAGATGATATTATCATTTCGTACCTGCTTTACAACCGCTTTACAACTAACATGGTTAACAATAAAAAAGTGAAGTTCATGACAATTACTCAGTTAAATAAAAAAACAAAAGTACATACTAATGACCAATCATATTTAAATAGGTCACGTAGTCCGTGGTAGGCGAAGATTGAAGTCTATTGTTTTTTGTACACACAGTTTAGGCTGAATGTGACTAATCCACAGTGCTTCCATTATCTTCAATAACCTTGAGTTATGTGAAATAATTCTGAAACAGTCATTAATATTGATTGATTTTGTGACCTGACATTAATAAGTGTTTTGCAATGGATGATGCTGGATTTCTATTCAGATTAATCGCGTTGGGAAATTCTATATGATTTAGTAACCATTTTGGAACATGTTCTTTTCGATGACATTGGAACATTCTATTGGTTCTACCTATATATGTGTCACCGCAGCTGCAGGTGAACTTGTGGATACAGTTTGAAGTAGAGTCCATAGAATTTCGTCTTTTAATCGTAGGTACAGGGATCGAGTAATTGTGGTGAACTTTATTTTATTATTGTTAACCATGTTAGTCGTAAAGCAGTTGTAAAGAAACTACGAAATAAGGATATCATCTTCTAAATGTCTTATTCAAATTTATCCAAGGGACGAACTGTTTTAATGTTTTTATGTGTTTAAATGATCAATCGTCTTATGAGTACTATCCATTTTACACTTCACTTTGTTTTTGATTCGATTGGTTCTCTCATTTTTCTAACTATGAGTAATAATTTTTGGGGAAAATAAATCTGCAATATGATCTGCACACAAAGTCGTGCGTGTAGACACCCATGTTGTACACTGCGTGCGTGTCTATGAGGATGTGTGAACTCGATTTTGAGAACTGAGATAGACAAACGTTTGACCCAGTGATGCATGATCAGAATCACTCAGTTTCAACTTAGAATTTATGGTGAAAAGAAAATCAATCATAAATTATAAAAGATGGCTTGATAACAAATAATTATCTTAATTATTTGTATCCCGTGTTCTGAGCGGAATATAGTACCTAAGTAGTACACCAACATCTGGCTACATGACTCTCCACTAGCCTTAATTTCCTCTTGATATAGTCGCCTTCATCTCACTCGAGACCCATTCCCCGATTCTGTCGCTTCTTATTCCGGCTTCACTGAAAAGCTTGCCTGACATGGGATGTCCCTCAGTGATTTTGCAAATTCATCCACTTCATCTCCCTATTCGTTGGGTACTGTTAGAATGCTGCCTTGTTATCCTTTCCCGTCGATCATATAATCTTGAGTATTGAGGAAAGGCAGTTGTTGATGAAACTGTGAAGTTGTCTGGTTTTCATGGTATGCGAGTCAAGTCTCTTAACCATTGGAGTGACATTAATACTAAAAATTTGGGTAATTCGCTATAGTTAATATTAACTCAAGTAGGGAAATTCCATCACAAAGAGAGAAGAAGCAACAGGAATTGGTAGTGTTTTGAAGTCATATGGAACAAACTTAAGTGCAACAAAGTCTAATAACAGAAATAAGGAGTGTTATGTAATAAGCTGATGGGATTACAGGCACAAATAAGGGGTAAAAAATGAATATTTTCCAGTGAAAATAATTTCTCGTCACACAGTATAACGTCTACAGTAGTCGAATTCAGTTGTCTGGTAGAGTCTCACTCAAAAAATTTATACTTTCCTATTTAATTGATGTGCGTTGGTGGCATAGCGGTTAGGATGCTCGCCGACAATGCACATGGTCCGGGGTTCGATCACCGGCCACGGACGCACTTCTTTACCTCGCTAAGTCAGAAATAATGCTGGTGAAGAGGAAAGGTTGGGCATATGGCTAGCAATCTCATCCTGTAAAAATTAAACACTGCTACAGAAACTTCAAGCCACTAGCTTGAAGCCCTATGTTCCACTGGGGAACGTCAAGGAAAAATAAAAAATAAAATTTGATTGATACTAAAATTCACTGACTAGAAGGTAAATAATGAAAGTTTAGAGTTCTCAGTTTTGGATTTTAAACAAACTCACTTCCACTCGGCAGTAAACTGACGAGGTTACACAAAACATAAATGTCACTTACTTCCAGGCATAAGACGAGGTTTAGCTCCAAGCACGGCCAAGTTCACATTCGCTTTCCGACCATCAATACATGGATTTGGATCACGAATCGCTAGCAGGGCATCTTCTGTACGAGTCATAGTTACCTGTGAATAAAATGAAAACAAAATCCCATTATAACATTAGTGCTTGTATACTACTGAAATAAATAAGTAGCTAAGTAACAAGTCAGGTGGTTTAGTTTAGGAAAATTAAAACGGGCTGAATTAGGAATAGCACTTTTTCAATGGGGCTTAGGAAATCCAAGCGCTCTATGCAATAATTCTCACTAGGCTTAGTGATTTCATCAGCCCTATCTTCACTCCTAAGGTATCACGTGAATCGTTAGCGTGCCAAAGCTATCACTCCGTTAAATAGTTTGTAGAGAAACCGTCTCAGTCACATAGTATTCATCACATTCTTACTACGGATGAATAAATGTTGGCAACTAGACAGGAATTGTTAACGCTAAAATTCTAGGTTCGAACCCCTTAATGATATCCACCGATGATTTGACAAACTATCATCAGACAGAAAGTGACATTCTCTTCATCCAAAAACAATGTATTAGAACAAAAACTTTTTGCATCCCTTACGCTTCAAGCTTCGAACTTTCAATGACCATGGTGTTTCCGTTTATTTAAGGGATAGGCATGTTAGCCTGACGACCAAACTTCCCTGCTTTTGGGGCTTAGTACCGGTTAGTGAATCAAGTGAAGTTTAGGAATACGTCGGCCGGGAATCGAACACGGATCACGCATGTAGCTGGTGATCATTCTACCACAGAACCATCGGCGCACTTATTTCCTGAAATGTCAGAGTCTGAATTCCCCTTCCCTAGACTTTTCTAAACTTCGTAAGTTTATTGACTGTGACCGAAGTGGGTCTTTTGAATCTCTAGAATAAGAAACTAGAACTTTTAGTCTGTACCGACTTGCATGCGTACTGAAGATGCTAGCTAGCAGACAGTCACGCAACTTTGTGTTTGGAAGGAAACTGATTAACTACATTCAGAAGAATTCCGAACCTGCGGCCAGATGCTATGGTGATTGCTTCAAGATCTAAAGACTTCAAGCAGAATTAGACGATGCATAAATACCGGGGGGACATCGTAGAAACTACTGCTGTTATTTTCATCTCTTCACCAAAAATGGTAAAGATAAAACTATCTAAAGGTCATAAATGATAAATCTGAGAGAGACTGTTGCACAAATAACATGATTAAACTCCTAGAAACTAGTCTAAATCCAGCAGATGACGCTTTTTAGGCGTTTACCGCTCATTTCTAACAATATGAAAAGAAATTTAATTAACAAGACGACAAGAAGGCAACGCCCGATTAGTATAGTTCTAACCAGTTCTAAACAAAAAACAAGGTAGAAAGCTTACAACATTATGTGATCAACACAATAAAATGTTTTCTATTGTCAGTCGGTCGGTCTGTGTGCTTGCTGATTTTGTCGTCAGTGTTCAAAGCGACACGGGCGCACGCACGTACGCACGCACATACACATAATACGCAAATCGATAAACAACACAGTAGAATTAATCATAACAAAAATAAATGTCGTTGTTGTTGTTGTTGTTCTAATATTCCAGCAGCATATTCAAGATGAGTTTTATGCAGAAATGCATTTTCTTTCTCCTGTTATTGATCAACCTTTAAGCGCAGCACAGAAGGAGGCGTTGACGGCACAATCGAGTGAAGTACAATACAACGCAATACCACACAACGCAAAAAAGAAACACACACACAACCAAACTTCAGCAGACAATAGAGGTGATGTGACGAAAAGCACAACGCAAAAAGAAAATCACCTCGTCTCATTGTGTGTATATATATGTGTGTGCTGGTGTGTATGTGTGTGTGTGTGCGTATTTTGTGTGTTCCATCTACAGCCTTCTGAGATAGATTTCTGTCTATTTCATGGCAGACGGTTTGTTTACTTCACTTTCAGATGGTTTAATTTTCAATAAATACAAAATGTTGTCTAACGATTTATTTTCTGGGAGTATATATATATATATTCAAGTATTGGTTTGGTAGGGATTTGAAAATTAATCTGATGCTCACTAGTGACTGGCCCTATTCAGGCAGTTAACCTGGGGTTCTAGTGGGAAGCCGTGACCATTAGGGGACAGCAGGTTGAAGATGAGGCAGTAACTCATCTAAGAAGACATTGCGAAATGGTCGCGCTATGTCGTGAATTGGCAGAAGTTAGAATTCAAGGACCATTGGATCGGGTCCCAGTGGCTCAATGGTCTACGAGCTCGCCTTGTAACCAGAAGGTCCTGGGTTCGAATCCCGGTGGGCACGTACTGCTGGAGACTCGCAAACTAGGACGGGGGAAACAGCTGTCCAGTACTCCCAGGTTTTCCAGTGGTTCTCTAACTGATGTCAGCTCATGACGAAATCCTCCATGCAATATATGAGAATGTCTCCTTAAGGGCTTTCGTTATTCATTGGAAAATGGCTGAAAACCAGGGGTTACTGGTTAGTCGTTTCGCCCTCAATGGAGGAGTCACCAATGACCTGGACAGACGCTGAACCAAAAAGATTCATATTAGAAGCCTACCGCATTTAGTAATTACATGTTTATTCATATATTCATTCCTTTGCGTTCTGAGTGGAACAGAGGCCTTAATGCTTCAGCTTTTGGAAGTTTCATTAGCGGTGATCCTTGTTTTACAACGTAAGGTTGGCAGCTGCACACCCGCCCCTCCCTCTTCACTGGGCTTACTAATGGCTAGGTAAGGTTTAGTAGTGCATTGGTTGCGAATCAAACCCGGAGATCCAGAGCTGGTTGGTGAGCATCCTGCCACTGAACAATTAACACAAACGTCATACTAACCAAGAAGATGTTCAGTTTCCTGTTTAATTAACAGGTACTAGTAAGGAGTAATAATAATAATAATAATAGCTTTATTCCAAACAGTATTTGTGGTACAGGTATGGAATTTTCAGCGTGCATTACAATATTGCATCTAATTACCTTATAAATTTTTATAAGATTTTAAAAATAAAAAGCAACAACAACAAGAAGAGAAAAAGATAAATAAAAGAAATAAAAAAAGAACAGCATTGCATTCACATATTTAAACAATACACCACAGGATATGAAATATAAAACTAGTGTGTTATAGAATATGTGAGCAACAATATAATAGTAACAAAGAAAGGAGAACAAAACCTCAGTAAGTTGATCGTGTCATCCCTAACGGATTTCTCATCACATAACACCTGTGCCAGATAAGGTATTGTGGAGTTCTTGTACTTGGTAGTCCTGGCATATAGCCTCCTATAGTTGCTTCTAGTTCTACCAGATGAAATGCAACGAGAGAGCCGCGTATAGAGAGGGTGTTCGGGGTCTGACAATATAGTATTCGCTAGTTTCTTACATGACATTATATGTCTATCCACAATAGTGTTAACCAGTTGGTTTAACGATATCCCACTTCCCCTACTAGCAGCTTTTAGTGCCCTACGCAGCAAAGCAAAGTCTTTCTTAAGTAGTCCAGGAAAGATTAATGGGGAGCAGTAAGGAGGGATGGTGAGAATACAAGAGTTGACAAACTGAGAAAGCAAAGACTGCTTTATACCAGATTGCCTTAACTTCCTAACATAGAACGTTAAGCGAAACATCTTTCTAGTAACTAGCAAGATGTGAGAGGACCAGGAAAGATCGGAGGAAATACTAAGTCCAAGATACTTGATATTAGATGTAGTTACAATCTCTATGCTATCAATGATAGTGGGACCATGTGAGCTAGCTAGTTGCTGTAGGTTACATTTTCGTCTGAAAGTGAAATTTACTACCTGATATTTAGACGCATTCAGCTTAAGACCGTTTGAAGAGGACCACTGACTGACTAATTTCCGAGAGAAAGTTATTTAATTTGGAACAGTTGACAGGCATGGAGACAAAGAGGTCATCAGCATACTTGAAACTGCTGGATTATCCATGCTCACTGACTTGATATCATCTATCTAACACAGTGCAAATACTGAGGTTATTTTGAGTCTCAGAGCGAATACTGTCTCTCAGTGGAATTCACATAAATCTGTCGCCAAAGTAGGACGACAATCAGTCTACTGGTTCAGCAGCGTACATATATTTTTTTTAAACTGGCCGTCACAGCTTTATTATATATTCACAAAATACACAGAATTATCGATCGTGTTCACAAAACAAAAAGCCTGTGAATTGGTAAATAACACACAATCTCCTAACATTAGGACACATAAGTAATTCACATTACATCATGAAGATGTGAATAGGAATAGGCATATAATGAATTCATTGTCAAGCAAACTCTCACAGAAATGATAAGGTCATACCCTTTATGTTTTTTTTTTTTGTTTTATATTTTTGAACCTGGTAGTTTTGAAAGAAAATCAGTTTTTTTTTGAACGACTACTGGCTAGTCTACTAGGCTACTTTAAGAAATATACATATACGCTTGACCTGTATTGTTGTTTATGTGTTGTCTTAATTAGCGTGTGTGTGTGTGTGACATTTGACACAAAAATCAATAACTGTAAATGTCTACGGCAGAAGACTAGAAAATGCCTCCAGTAGTGTAGGTAGGATATCGTTTAAAAGGGTAAAAGTGTGGGTAAAATAAGAATTTTTAAGGGCGGCGGAGGGGGAGGTTAGTGTAGAAAAATGGAGCCAGGAAAGGTTAACTTCGAATGTGAAATTTGTATGCTCGTCAGTAATTACCTACCTAACCGATAACAACAAGCATTAATCACAATCAAACGGGAAAATACGAAGGAAGTTACCGCCGTCACTTAGCTGACCTGAGCAACATCGTTTCAACTACAGTCATTTATACGGATGGAGACGTCAAAGTGGGAAAAGTGAGACAGGTCCTCATTAATCTGGAATCCGGGGTGGGGGCGGAAAGAGGAATCTACTGCACTTAGCATAAGAAACAAGAATCAGGTTTTCAATACTACTACTATCAGATCACTACTTCTATGTGGGTCAGAGATATGGTAAGGTTGTCACGAAAAGCACTTTTAACAGGCTGAAAACCTTCATAAACGAGGTTACCTTCTGTCGATACCGAAGATCAGATCGCTGGCCTTAAATGATAGACG